CTATTTAGGAAACATTAGGCTTAGGTTTGTGAATAAATAATGTAGTACTCATTGCCCTTAGGCTGTACATATGCATATATTTCATTTAAGTTAACTGAGTTGGGAGAATTTGAATGATGAACTTTCTGAAAAAGCTAGGTTAGAAATTAGGTTCAGAGAAATTCTCTCTGGTCTTTGAGAGTTAGGTTAAGTTTTTTATATGGTTAGAATCGTATAATCATGCTCTATAACTTTCATGTTGCAAGTTTTTGCTTTAGAGCACGTATGCAGGATTTCCAGTTTTGAATACCAGGCGCGCGTATTTTTGTCAAAAGGTTGAAGATGATGGAATCTGGGCTGGGCCTTGGCATTTCCTTGCTATTTGCACCCTTAGCCTGTTGTTTACACCCCCTTGGCCCATTGTTTTATATTTTTATATTTTTTCTATTTCTTTTTTATTTCTGACTTTATTTTATTTTTTCTAAACATTAAAAATTACTAAAAATATTTTTCTTAAAATTTCACATTTTATTATTTTTATTTCATTTTATTTTGGCATAATATTTAGTTTATTAGGCTTAATATATTTATTTTCTCAAATAAGAACTTGTAAATAATACAAAAAATATTATATTCTTATTTTAGTATTTATATACTTAAATAATATTTTCTCACATTATTTTTATTTTTTAACATTTATATATATTTTATTTATTTTCTCATACATGAATAAATAATTATAACATATATATTTTCATAAAACAAATTAGGGTTTCCACCCTTAATAAAAATAATCTCTTATTTAATACATTAAATATTTTATTTTTACATACATAAAAATAATACAAAAACATTTTTTGCATATTTATAATATATTGCATATTTATATTTAATTGTCCATTTAAATATTTGCTTATTTATTATTTGAACAAAGAATTCAATTTGGTTGTAATAGTTGATTTAGGGTTTTATATTTTCTTGCAAATATCCCCTATTCAAATTTGTATCCCCCTCCCCATATCAATGTTGTAATAGCTTAGATTACCTTTACGCATTTATTGCTTTCAAATATGCCATGATAGCAAGATTAGGGTTTGTATGCAAAAATCCAAAATCAAACAAATAGCTTGACTAAATACAAGACAAAAATGCATGAAAATGACAACACAATGCACACATGCACCCCTAGGGTTAACTCCACTTGTTGCCTAAAAAATGGTCATGTTATGCATGTAAGACGTCTTAGCAAAACAATAAAAATACAAGATCATAGTCCCTCGATGACGCTTTAAATGTTGTCTTTAAATGATCTTAGCCCCTCAAAGAGAAATGCTAAGATATCTCATAACATTGCTATCATGACTATACGATGACCCACACCCATCCCTTTTACATCCAAAGATGAGGCTTCTTACAAATCAATGGTAAGATAGCAACATCTAAAGAAGGAGGAGAAGAACAAAAGACTTTTGAGTAGGTAGAAAAGTTCTTAGTTTCTTGCTCATTTTCAAAACAAACATCTTTCCAAACATACACTAAACACTTTCAAAACATGAAATATTTTCAAAAGTCCAACACTTTGTATACGTTCTTATAAAATGAGAACCATTAAAAAGTTTTCCTAAACGAAGGCGCTTTTTAAAAAATACTTTCAAAAACCACCACAAAGCACACTTTCAAACAAAGAAAGTGATCTAGCAAGCAACTAAGAGCCCATAGATAACTATGGATGAAAAGGGTGCTAATACCTTCTCTTTTCATAATCTACCCCCCAAACCCAAAATAATAATCTCAAAGGTCTTTCCTGTTCTTTTCACCCTTTCCTTTATTGGATAAAAGAAAAGTCGGTGGTGACTCTTACTATCTGCGATAATTGCAAGAAAACGCAAAACATTCCAAGTCAATTCTCCCACCGTATTACAGAATTGGCGACTCTGCTGGGGAAAACTAAAAAGTAGGGTTACCTTAGGGCTAGATCACCTTTACTTGTTTTCATTGTTTGACTTGCTTGCTTTATATTATGGTTCCTTGTTTGGGCTTGTTTTGATCTTCTACCCGGATCTGGAGCACCTTTTTAGGTAAGTAGCAATAGATTGTGGAAACTGTACGGCGTAGACCGATATGGTTGAAACAATGGCTACGTTAGTGTGACACATTTGTTGGTACTGGTATCCCTTGTGTTGAATCGGGGAGAATATGGGGCCGCTGAGCAGCGTCATGAAGCACTAACTGGCCTTAGAACCTTAATCGAACAACTTGGCCATTAGGACGTAGTGAGATAACCGGTTTCGGTGGAAAGATGAAAGTTAGTTGATACTCGATACTACACTCATTGAGATTGGACTTTTGGGATATCTCGACCGCAAGAAAAGATTGATGGTGCAGAGATAATGCCTGAAAGAAAGGTCAGTGATTTTGAGATCCTCTAGAACCCAGTTACTTTCTAGGGCAAGTTGATCCAACTAAACTTCAAGAGGGTACTTACCTACAAACTCCATGCAAACTTAAACCTAAGGACTTGTCTGCTTTGTGTGTATATGATTATTTGTATATAACGTCTTGCTTGCTTTGCGTACTTGTATATAACATCATAACATCATACCATAGCATTTTCAATAACCATTTCAAGGATATCAAGGGCCTATGATGCAGTGTCATGTTGAACCAGACACATATCAAGGGGAAAGAGGATTCATTCTCTAAATCAAATGTCGTCAAAGACCAAAGCACGGTAATTTGAGTCAAGGGATATGACCCACTTGACATGGTGAGCTTGATTCTCGTGGAAGAACATCCACCAATACAAAGTTCTCCAATCAAAGTTGTTGATCAAATTTCAAATTTTAACATCTTCTTGCGTTTACCCCACGAGATCCTTGAAAACATCGCATAACATGAATGTCATCATAACAGGTTTCCCCGTACATGTTTTCTCATCTGCTTATTGTTTATTTCAGTAGAGATGGATCTAGAGAAAACAGTTAAAGATATCCAAGCTTAAAATTCTTAGTTCTAACAAGCGCTCATGAACTTGGCCAAGGGGCAGGAAGATCTGAAAACTCTCTTCACCAAAGAGAGCAAGAAGAAGAAAAAGTCGGTCATCCTCAACGTAAGGAGAAGGTCCAAGGGGCATGCCCAACTAGTTCAAAAATAAGATGATTCTTCTAAAGAAGAATACAATCAAGAAGAGGAAGCTAGAAGAATTAGAGCTAACATAGATACTGATGACGATGACTTTTCTGAGGAGCAATATCCACCGGCGGATGAAAAATACAAACATCTTGAAGACAAACTAAAAGTTGTGCCTGGTTTGGATTTAGGAGACATGGGTTTGGTTACTGGAGTGGTCATCCCACCAAAGTTCAAAACCCTTACCTTTGCCTTGCATGATGGAGTCTTTTTCCCTAAGATGCACCTACAGTCTTATGTTCACAAGATTCAACCATACACAACTGATCAGAAGCTTTGGATCCACTTCTTCCAAGAGATTTTAACTGGGACGCAACTTGAGTGGTTCTATCAATTGGAAAGTTCCCACATTCACACTTGGGAAGATCTAGCTGCTGCTTTTTACAAGCAGTACCAATACAACACTGATCTTGCACCAACTTGTGTGCAATTGCAGAATATGGCCATGCGTTCCAACGAGGGTTTCAAAGAATACGCCCAAAAGTTGAGAGACCTGGTTGGCATGGTGCAACCACCCTTAACTGGTGTTGCACCCCAAAATTTGCCCTCCTAATTTATTCTATCTGGCTTAGACTCTTTCATCCATCTATATATATTCCGTTAGGTCATTAACGTGCATTTGCATTCAATAAAGCGCTTGAGGTTCGAAGTTCAGTGGTTGCGCAATATTAGGGCTTCGCAGCGGTTAAGGTGTTCATAACCAATAAAGCCTGATTCTTCTGATTATCCTTCAAGCAGTGAGATGTGGAATTAGGATTACAACCTATGCTTATTGAGGGTTCTGTTGCCTTCACAAATTAAGGGGCTATTACTCATTCAGATGCGTTCAAGACAAGAGTCAGAGTGTTTCTCCACCAAGTTTGTGCTTGTCAACATTTCATCAACCGAGGTTCATTAGGTTTTCTAAGTCATAGCCATCTTGGCCATATTTCTTTCTGTATTCCCATATTCATTTCCAAGTTATTCTACGAGGTCGTCTAAGGGCTATTAAATCAGACATTCATTATCTCCTGGTGCGCAACATCATCCTTTGGTTAGAGTTTATTTCTCTAAATCATGTACCATTCAGGGGAGGTTTCTCTGTGAAGTTGCGATTATCAGGCAATGCTACAATCAAGGGATATCGTCCATAAATAACCAGGGTTTCAATTGATATATCTTTGGAAAATAAGAAGGAAGTCATTGCTTGAGTCTCTAGTCATGTGGGCAACGACTCTATTCTAGAAAAGAAGATTCAGTTGGACCTTCTTCACGAATTAGGGCTTGTATGCCTTATAATGCAAAGCTCTTCATCTGGTTGATTGACTTACTTGTGATATAACCTATTTTCTTTGGATTTCATTTAAATACTTTGAAGATCAAAATCTAAAAGATTTGTGTGGAAGTTTAGGATTTATATGCATTATCGTTCTCAATTGTTTGATCGCTTGTATTTCAAGTTGGCCTGGAGCATGGAAGTCTGAGACAGCAATAATAGCAATGCAATACCTGGCTTCCCTTGGTGGTGGAAGTGGAATAGAGCATGAAATATTAAAGAGTAATCCAATACCGGAAGCCTTCGGAAATGGAAAAACATTGAGAAAGGACAACTCAATTCGTTTTGGCAAACTCATTGAGATTCACTTCAGTAAAACAAGAAAAAATATCTGGTGCTAATATTCAAACATTTTGTTGGAAAAGTCTAGAGTAGTCCAATGCAATGAAGGGAAAACATCATTTTGGTAGTTTGTATTCTTGATAATATTTTTCTTTTACTTCCAATTGATTATTTAGTTTTTGGTTGTAGCAATCTTAGCCATTAATTGTGTTTGTAGCAATCAAATTGAAAGGTAATGGATTTGTGTGTGAAGAACCTTTTCCTCGCAAATAGAGCCATTTCTGATACAAGGTGTCGTAATTCATTTAACGAGATAATAGTTTCCAGTAAATAACACTCTCTCCCTTTTCTTCTCAGTGTTTCCACCAACAACAAGAATTACTGCAACTCTTCTTCAACTTCTGGAAATAATGATGGTGATAAATCTAATAACAAGCATCATCAGATTAATTTGGATTGGCGTGAATTTAGAGCTAAACTATATAGAGATGAGCTGAAAGAAATATAAGGTGATTCTAATCCTCTTGGAACAAAGTGGGCTCGTCCTATTCCTGGACCTGAGACTGGCTGTGTACTTGTGGCTATCGAAAAGCTTGATGGTGTTTGAACATTTGAAAGAACTGTTGTTCTCCTTCTCAGATCTGGAACTAGACAGTCACAAGAAGACCCTTTTGGAATTGTCATCAACCACAAAAAGATTAAAAACATAAGACCTACAAATCAGGATTCAATAACCTCTTTTTCTGACTGTTCTTTGCATTTTGCTTGACCTCTTGAGGCAAGCATGTTTTTGCTAAAATTAGGGGACAAGTTGAAGCTTCTAGGATTTCAAGAGGTAGTCCCTAGACTATATTTTGGAGCTCGAAACACTTTGGATGATGCATCAACGCTTGTCAAGAAAGGGATTATCAAGCCTTATGATTTCACTTTCTTTACTGGTTATGCAGGATGGAAAATAGATCAGTTGAGAGGTGAGATTGATTCAGAATGTTGGTATGTTGCTGCATGTAGCTTAACTTTGCTCTATCAGGCTATCACGGATTTTTCTCAAGGTATGTAGGAGGAGATTTTGCAAATAATGGGTGGTCATTAGGCTGAATTGAGCCAGAATCCAAAGCAAGACCCATAGGTACTAGCATATATATATATATATATATATATATATATATATATATATATATATATATATATATATATATATATATATATATATATATATATATATATATATATATGACTTTGAGTCATTCAATAGGAACCGTTTTGAGCAGTTCTGCATAAATTATGCAAATGGAAGATTACGGCAACACTTTAATCGTAATTTGTTCAAGCTAGAACATGAGGAATATATCCAAAATGGAATTGACTGGGATAAAGTTGAATTTGAAGACAAACAAGACTTCCTTAATCCTTGTTAGGCGAGGAGTCTACTTTTCCAAATGATACTGATTTAACATTTGCCAACAAGCTTAAAGCAGCATTTGAATTCTAATTCATGCTTCAAAGGAGAACGAGAAAAAGCCTTCACTGTGCATCATTATGTAGGAGAGGACACTCATGAATACAACACTACAACGTCTATATTAGATCACACTTTGCAAAGGTCCCACTGGATAGCTCCATAACTGATTTTGAAGCAGTCTGTCTTGCAGAGTGGAAGCCCTTCTTCATTCCCAGGAGAGCTGCATAATAGTTCAATAGTACTCAATTTTGGAAAACTCAACTGCAAATCATCCCTGCATTTAGTTTATACCAGAAATCAGAAAAAACAAGGAAAAAAAGAGAAGAAGGTCAAAATACACAGTCACAATTAAACTGTGTTATTAATAATCAAGAAGTTTATTGTCCCTCTTCTGTAACTCAATCATCAGCTGTGAACTTTGTACCAAGTGGTTCATAAGTTCGAGGTTCTAGTGTTGTGAAATGCTTATTTAATCAGCCTCAGAAGTCTATCCTGAGGCTACTCAGGTTCCACCTAGCAATACAGAGACTACACCTACTTGTTACACTGTAATTCCAACCAAAAGAGCTATGGTTAGCCTTGCAAAGAAAATGGCTTATATAGAGAGTAGTCATGGCATTTCGCCTGTTAAAAATGAATTCAGACAAGGCAATTAAGAGGGAACCTGTAAGAAGCAAGTTGAACTTTGATTCCTTTGGTATGCCTCAAAGGTTGGATTCTGAAAAATCATTGCCTAATGAGATATCTACAGAAGAGTCTAACTTATATGACATTGATTTCCCTAACTTTGATGCCCTTAGCATGGGATTTTCATTTGCTGAAATGTTAAATGATCTGGATTTTTCTTGTGAGGGTCTTGATTTTTTCATATGATCCAACACCAAGTCATTCAAATGATAATCAAGTTATATCTAATCAACCATCAACTATGGCAGAAGCTCTATCTGAGGAAGATAATAATAAAATAAAGGCCACTAACAAAATTCTCTAACCTCTTCTAACTTGTAACCAATTAACAAGAAACTTAAAAAGAATTTTCTAACAGTTCCCAACTGATTCCTAACTATAAACAACTTTCTAACCAACTTCCTAATCTCTAAAACCAATTAACAGAAAGAGTAACAAACTCTAACAGTAATATAAATGATTCAAATCTAACCCTTCATCTCATAACTAACTCCCCAGATCTTATGGTTGAGAATCATCAACCTTTAAAAAATTTCATCTTCCTCCAATCCCTATGTAACCTCTTCTCTACGTTCATTCAATCTCTCTCCACCAATTTTCAGTTTCCAGAACCATTCAATCTACACCATTAAGTTTTTCACATTCTTCATCCCTCACCTTCATTTCCTCTTCAACTTCTTCACTTTCCCTTACCTCACCACACGCTCTCTTCAAAAGCCATTGAAGCTTCATATTGAAGCTTCAATCGGTTGAGCTTATACTTCTGCAACTCTCACTCTCTACTGAATCGTCAACATCACATAGCGCTCTCACAACTTTCCCTCTGGTTTTCTTATTCCCATCGTGACAATAAAACAACACAGAAACACGAACAAAATCGAGTAGAAGAAGAAGATGAATAGAGAACACGTATAACAAGAATCAAGAGCGTGCTAACATACCAAGATCAACTCCTGCATCTTTCCCTTCATCGTCGTTGAAGTCGCATCGGACGAACTCCGATAGGTAGGCTCCTGATTTCTCTCTTCCTTGCATCATCTCACGAATCAATGCTTGAATGCTTGTGATCTTTGACCGGAATTCTCTGGCTATCATATGTGATTCTCTTAACTCCGACGTATTTTTTGATGCGTTAAGATTACGTATTTATTTAGATTTAGAAAACTGAGATGAGAATGATCAAGATCTAACTAAATCAGAGGCGGGCATAATTGTTGAACGAAGTTTGAGACGAGATCACAACTAAGACGGAGCAAGGTACATCGCGATGAAGCTTGAAGGAAGACTGAGGATGAATCATAGGCGACCACAGAGGGAGTTGATCAGCATCGCGATTTGAGACGAAGAAGACAGAAGGTGTCACGCCATCGGCGTTCTCTCGAAGAAGAGCCTGATATCATGAATCCCAACAGTCATCTTGTTGGACCCTAATTTCCCCTTTTGATTTTAATTTTTTTTTTTGCTTTTAATAATAATAAAACAAAACTGAATAAAATAATGGATCTGTGTTGGAGATTTTTGGGTTGGACCAGATTGTTTTTTTCTCTAGGCCTATTAGTTTTTAGAGGCCTGTTTGTCATACCATAAAAATGCTCCTGGACTCTCATTACAAGCCTAGCGCCTTGCTCCGGTGCACCCCTGGAATTCAATTCTCACCCCTTATTTCTCTTACCTTCTTCTTATGATTTTTTTTAGTCCTTTCTTCCATGGTTTTTTTTCTTTAATAAAAAAATGCATAACAAAAATGGCAAAAGTATTATAATACATTTTAGGAATTAAATAGGAATTAATTTCCCCCTTTTCTAACTTTTAGTCAATTTTAATCACTAATTTTACTCATTTATGCCATTTATTTCTTTTGCAATTTTTTGGTATGGATTGTATGCAATACTTTAAATACTTGCTGCCTAATTTTGATTGTTTGTATAGTCTTTCATGATCCCTTAGGTGATCTTGGTTCAAATTTAATCTTCGATTTAATTGAACTAAAATTAGACATTATGCTTCTAAATCCAAAAATGCAAATATTAGATAGAATTCCCTCGAGAATCCGAATCTTAGGACCACCAACGCATGATAAGATTAGGTGTAGAAATAGGCTAGTCTCCCTTTAAATTTTCTTTCCACTCTTTGCATATGCATCTAAAACTAAAACTTCCTTTTTTTACAAACTTCAAAAAATACTTAAAAAATTACTAACGAGAATAGTGCCTTTGTTGAATATGGGAGATGATAAGCGGGTCTCTTCTCGATCTTATCGTTTTTCCATTCTAAGCCTTGGCATGGTTCAAATCTTAAAGAATCATTTCATGAATAAGTGGAGAAATGAATCTCTCTCTTGAGATTAACTAGCTATTATCCACAAGCAAAAACACCAACAAATACAAACTCTTCTTGCCTTCGGGCCTTTCTTTCAAAACCTTTTCAAATGGACATGTTAATTCACTTTTGTGCTGACGCGTAAATCTCCAAGGGTCGAGTTGCGGCAGAAGGCGAAATTAATATTGTTCATTAAAAAAATACAAACCAATAAAAACATATGAGCCGAACTACGGCTGCTCTGATTCCTTAAAAGGGATACGTAGGCGGGGTAGGGCCCGAACGAGCACAACTTTTCTTTTCCCTACATTTCTTTTCTCATTTCTTTTGCATGCATTATCCCAATAATATAAGAAACAAATAAGTATAGATTAAACACACCCATAAGATAGATAACAAGAGTGGATACCGTAGAGTACTACGGGCGTGTGGGGTGCTAATACCTTCCCCTCGCGTAACAGACTCCCTTATCCTTATCTCTCAATAGCAAGACCGTGACTTCTCCCTTCTCAGGTTTTATCGATGTTTACCTTTCCCTACGCGTGGGATAAAAGACGTTCGATGGTGACTTCGTTGTTTGATGATTTTCAGCCGGTTGTTTCAGCTGGCGACTTCACTGGGGACAGGTCGACCAAATGCTGGTCCATCCCGGAGTCGCTCCTAGATCTTGTTTTCTTTTCTTTGGGTGTTTATTTTTATGCTTTCTGTACTCATTTGTACATGTTTATCTGAACATAAGTTTGCATTGCATTTTATTTCTTTCCATATTTGTTATCTATTATGCTGGATTTTGGTTTTCCATGTTGGGTGGGGATGTTACTATTGAGGTAAAAGGCCCAGTACCCAGGCCAAAGTGCACTAGGACACTAGGAATAGAGTGGGGGCATGACGGCTATAGGACGTGGTCCGATTAGTGCAGTCATGTCATATACCATGCTCGAGTGAGGTTCAAATGAATTACTATCGGCACCCACGTCTGTGGGTAAGCCCATAACACTTTCAGGTGAACCCGTGATTTTCGAGTTACCCTTGTCTTACCCTGATCTAGTCTTCACCCATGAGTAGGGAGGGAATTTTTATCACAGGTATAGATGGTAACTATGTACAGATGGTTACTCATGCTCAGATGGTGATCATGCTCAGACAGTGATTAGTGGTTCTAATGATTATGTTCTGGATTTCCCTCAGTGACTTATGCATATGGTATTCTGTTAGTGACTATATAGTTCTCAGATTTATTTTCTGAGCTCCTGACTTTCTTACTTGGAAGTTCATTCGAGCCTTTGATCTTAGTGTTCCCAGCATGTTCAGAAAAGACTCAACAATATCCGATGTTCTAGAAACCTTGACCCTGCATAATCAGTGATCTACATGGTACTTGGTTCTTATATGTGCGGAAGCTATGACAAACCTTTGACTTGATGATACTCATATGGTTCAGAACAGTGCAGCAATCATATCCAGAAATGATGGAACCTTGATCCCGCTTTGATCCCATGTCTTTGCATACATAACATGGTTAACCACATACTTAACATACATGTTCTGTTATTTCCAAGGAATCATATTCGCAAGCCTTATGTTGAACCTTTCCATCTTTTACCTACGTAAAATCAAAATCAAAGCACGTAAATTCCTTGGGAATGAAGGAACATGACATG